CCATTTTAAACATGGATTCATTTGAGTCTGTGTTTGCTGTATACAACAGCTTTGAAACACAATTTGGAAAAATATGGGAATATCTCTCTCTCTCTCTCTCTCTCTCTCTCTCGATAGATCCCTATGTATATTGTATGCCACATTACCATGACATTACTCATACCATATCACCCTCACATTTTAGCCATGTTGCCACTTTGGGCACACGCACACACACACACAAATACATGCACATACATACACACACTGATACATGCATGCATATATGCACTTTGATGCATGTACATATATACATTTAATACACGCATACACATGCATACTGCTGATGTATAGAGACACACAAGGACACACACATACATTGACAGATACAGTCACACAATCACAATGTGTGCCTGACAGTATGTATTGCTACCTGTGCATGCATGTTTGTTATTGTGTAGTGTGTATGTGCTTGAGAGTGTGTGTCTGGCAGCGAGTATCCTTGTGCATCTGTGAGTGTATATCTTTGTGTATGTGTTTCTATCACTGTGCCTCCAATGCATATCTGTGTGTATGTGTGTTTATGTATCTCTGTGTCTGTAAGCATCTGTGTGGAGGGAGATGTGCTCTGTTTGTTGTGTGTATGGTTGAGGGGCTGCTTGTAGTCTTGCTATGTGCATCGTGTTCATGGAGGGGCTGGGTTGTATGTGTTAGGGGTGCTTGTGTGAGTATGAGGGTTATTGTCTATTGTGTGGTGCATGTGCATAATGGTGAACATGTTTATGAGGGTTCTGTGGCAATATGGAGTGAATTTGAAAGCATGACTACACTGCAACAGAATGAGTGTGACAGGGTGACTTTGTCAATGTGAGTGTGGGGCGTGACTGTGACATGCCGACTGTTTGTGGAGGATAGAGGGGTGATGTGACACGGAGACTGAGTATATGTTGTGGAGCAGTAAGACGAAGTGACTGTGTGTGTAGGGAGGTTGACTGACATGATGGCTAAGTGTGTGTTATTAAGGGGGATGGAGTGACATGATGACTGAGTGAGTGGGAAGAGAGGATGACTGAGTGTGTGGGGGAGGTGATGTGACATGGTAACTGAGTGTGTGGGGGAGTGTGTGACGTAAAAGGGTAACTGCACGTGGATGGGGTGATGTAACAATGCAACTGTGTGTATTGGGGAAGGGTGATGTGACAGGCTACTGCGTGTGTGGGGTAGATTATATGTGGGGAGGTTGTACCCATGAAAGGTAGTGCTGGCTCTGCTATCAGCTGTCACATCCTGTTCCTCGCTGCGGATCATTCTGGTGATGACTTCTGGTATCCAGTACTCTTTTTACAATTCTTGTTTAGTTTTTCTTGGTTTTTTGGGGGGTTTTCTATTCTATGTCTGGTTTTCTTTATGCTGGGTTTTTCTGGGTTCATTCCTGTAATCCATCCCTGGAATTCCCAGTCTGCAGGTTTCCTTTAAATGTTTGTTTTATGTTGCCACACCCGTTTGTGTTCCTTCATTCCTTTTGTTTCAGTGTTCCTGCAGGCAGCTGCTCAAGTCTTCTGCCCTTTCTTGCAGGTAAGTACCATGTGTGTTTTCTTTGGTTGGTTTAGCTTGCATTGGGCAGAGTAGGACGTGCCGGATATGGGGTACATTGGCGTTGTTGGCAGGCTTATGCAATGTATGATCATATAATGTGACTAATCACCATGATTTTCATATGTAGTACTTAGTTGTGTCTCCTCTTGTTTTACCTTGTATCTCTTGTCTTGTTTTATTTTGTCTTGTATTCCCAGTTCATGTACAGTCCTGTCCTGCCCTGTTCTTTTTTTCCTCATATCTTGTGTACATGTTCTGGGTTCTGCTTTCTGTCCTGCTCCGGTTCTGGATTCTCCTAGTTTTGTCTTGTTTTCATGTATGGTGCCTATCTCTAGTCTTGCCGTGTTTCTGTACTGGATACATTCTTGCTGCAGAGCCTCCCTATTCAGCTCCTGGGAGGTCTGCTTAATTCCTGCTCCTAGTTCCTGGGATCTGCATAAGCTGAATCAGGGCTCTGGTATGTGGCTGCACAAACGCTGGTGCTCAACACCAGGGGGCGTGTGGTTACCCTGCACCAGATCCTGACCTATCCACTCTCACACTGAAGACTCCCACTTATCATCAGACATACTGGGTCCCGGTCCTCGCACCGCCGCCCGGACAGTGTCTGGGTCCCGGGCACCGGACCGCCACCCTGACATCAGCACAACCATTGCAAACAAATTAATTTGCAATGAACAAATTCCATTTGCATTTTAATTGTGTATACATGTTGTCGGGTATGAGTTCAAGCACAGGAAATCGTGAATACACAATTGGTGGGTTGATGTAGTTATTGACTGTTGAGAAAGCACTTTGCAAATTGATGTAGCAGGGGTTTTACAAGAGGTTGAATTATCAGGAATTCAAAGTTAATTTGAAATGTAAAGCCAAAAGTCTGCTATACTACTAGTTTGGTTATTTTGATCTAAATCAGACATGGATTGCAGCAGTTGTTTGGTGGCTGGCTGTAGGAGACTTGAAGGAAAATCTCTGCAGGAACAGCAGCATTGCCTCGCCTAGATAAAGGTACTAAACAATTGTATTCACAGTTTAACCTTGGTATTCATGTTCATTGCATGTAAAGAATAATGATAATTGCTGCAAATCACTGATTTGACAAGGTATTATATACATTTAATTATTATTATGAATTATGAATCATGACACACAGTTAATGGGCATCGTTTTGTACAATGTCCAATCGTAACAACCCTCAATTTATAAATAGAATATTGTTACAGAATCTCAATTATACATAATGGATGTCCACAATGAGTTCTGAAGCCCTACACAGCATGTCATTTAGTCCCTGATACATGTTTAGTAGATAGTGTATGTTCAGTGGAGAAATATTTAAATATATATATATATATATATATATATATATGTATATATATATATGTGAAATATATCAAAGTAATATTAATTTTTCAAGGTGACATTGATAAATGTTGCCATCATATATTTAGTATTAGGAATATATAGATCCACAAATTTAGTGTTTTATGTGCCGGAAGAGAAATTGACTTTGCCAAGGTCATAACCATCTAATATTGGATTTTAAATTTGGCACATTTATCACGTTAATCTTTTAAGGATTTATTTGTATTTTTATTTATTTATTAATGTTACCAAGCAATTGCCTGAAAAGTTATGATTTACGGTGGTGAACTAAAGTTGACTCCATAAAAACATGGATTTTATGTCAATCTACACATGAATATGAACAACTGCAGGAAATCTCCACTGGTAATTCTTTTCTTTGCTACAAATTGTGCTGCAAGGAACGTCACACAATAATAGCATTTGGTAAATTGAAAAAAAATAAAAAAAATAAGTATTTGTATTATAAAGAAATAAAACAAAAAGAATGTGAGTAGTTCATAGTCACAGAGACTACTCAGTCAATTTTCTTTGTTATATTAATAATTTCTGTGCTTAAATAAGGGTAAATAAAATATCTGTATACATTTTATTGACTAGTAATTGTGACACAAAAGAATTCTTTCTGAAAAGAAAATAGCTCTTTTGTGCTATGCTTTTTCACTGAGCCACTTGCACATACACAGTTTTTTTTTTCAAACATTCTGGCGAAACCTTAGCATCAAAATTTCTGCTTCTATTGGGAACACTTACATTATTTCGAAGTCACTAGCTTTTGAAGTTGCTTGAACAAGGAAAGAAACAATGATGTGCTTTAATGTCACATCCCATGTCATGGAAAATGTACTGATTGCATATAGGTATTCACTGCTTGTGACATATATACCTTCTCATCATGCATATACCCTTTATAGTCAAACATGTCATGCTTTCATTGATAGGAATTAATCTTGCCTTGACTATATATTTATATTCATTTTATAGAAACGATTCACTTTGAAGTGGATTGGGATTTATGATTTATATGGCAAGATGCAAGAGAGTATTTTTTTTTTTTTCACTGTGCCACAAAAAAAAAAATATATATTTTTTACATAAAGGTTTTTTTTTGTATGTGCCAAGGATCAGTGATATTGCATTTTAAAATTATATTAAGATGTTGAAAGCACTTTTGAAATTTGCATTGCAAGTTACATTATCGCGAATATTAGTACATTTTTGACGTAAACTATTTTTGGTTCTGTTCGGTCATTTGTTTATGGGAATGAATGAATCTTATTTAAAAAACAGGATTAATGCAAATTGAAAGCAATAAGTTATATGCAATAAACCTCCTTTGGATGGGAGCCTAGGTACAGAAGTGGTTATCACTTTTCTATTCGGTCCCCGCAAAAAGTTACAAATAATGCAGGGCTTTACAGGGCAAAGCACCTACAGCAATAGATGCCCTACAGTGTTCACAACAAGCCCTAAAGATGGGTGTTCACTCAGAACAGCAGCAGCCTTTGGATATGAGACACGGGAAAAGGCAGACTGTCAGAAAGTGTATTCACTTAGAATAGTAGGGGCAGCAAGCTTTAGCCCTTTAACTCTGGGAAAGAGGTGGCAGTCACTTCTCTAATATTAAGGCATTGCAAAAAAAGAGATAACTGCTTTACAGGATAAATCACTAGCAGCCCAACCCTACTCACAAGAACCCCTAGAGGGGGATATCCACTCAAATCAGCAGCAGCAGACTTTGGACATTCACTTTTCTCATAAGTCCCTGGAAAAACAAAATAAAACAGCACTGGTTTAATGGGTAACAATTGCAGCCCTATACTACTTATAACAACTCATACAGTCAGAACAACTCATGCAGCCTTGCACTGCATACAATAACCCGTACAGTCAGAACAACCCACAACAAACCATATTTAGTCAGTAAAAAGCAGTGTGGAGTCTTTGGACATGAACCTAGGGAAAGAGGTGGCTCATGTTAGGTCAATACAAAAAAAAAAAAAAGATTAAGAAAATAAAATGGCAGCACTTAAAGGGTAAAGCAATAGCAACCTTACCAACTCACAACAGTGCCTGAAGGGGAATGTTCACTCTTTACTCAGAACAGCAGCAGCCAGAGGTGGAATACAGCATGGGAGAGAGAGACGGGAGCTACTGCAGACCCCTATACTCGCTACCATCAGCCAGCAGCTGAACTCCAAGCAAGCCCCCGTCCTGGAAATTGAAGGTATATTAACAGGAGGGTGGCTGCAAAAAACAAAAGTGACATTTATGTGTTTATGTCAGATTGTGTGTGTGTGTGTGTGTGTGTGTGTATCTATATCACCATGTGTGTCTGAGTGTATGTGTGTGTATCACAGAGTGTGTGTTTGAGTGTGTGTGTGTGTGTGTGTCAGTGTGTGTATATTTGTGTCTGTGTTTGTATGTGTCACTATGTATATATGTTAATGTGTATTCCATTCGAATGGCAACAGTACATCCAAAAACACCCTTACATTATTATTATTATGTTATTTATATAGCACCATCAAATTCCACAGTGCTTTACAATGGGTGGACAAACAGACATGTAGTTGTAACCAGACAAGTTAGACACACAGGAACAGAGGGGCTGAGGGCTCTGCTCAATGAGCTTACATGCTAGAGGGAGTGGGGTAAAATGACATAAAAGGTAAGGATAGTATTGGACTAGTGACAGTTGCAGAAGGAATCTGTACACATGTACACATATACTCACTCTATACAAAACAAAATGCTTACTTACAAACGCACAAACACTGCTAACAAATACAACCCTGCAAGGATGGCAAATGGTAGATACCCAGTTGGTATAGCATCATTGGAGTTGTATGACAGATGGGGATTTACCTTTTGGCCACTTTGCACCAGAGGGGTGCCCAAAAACATTATTGCACCAGGGATCTCTTTGTTCCACTCTTAGTTCCGCAACAGGCAGCAACAGACTATGGACGTGAGCCCAGGGAAACAGAACTAGCCACAACCCCTAAAAAAAGAATAAAAGCTAATGAGAGATTGGTAGCCAAGCTTGGGCCTGTAGAATTAAAAAAAAAAGAAGAAGAAATTCCGCCTAAATATTGTGAGAGCTGTGTGTATGGTTGGGCATGACAGCATCCGTTGCACAACCAACCTAAGGCTGACTTTTTCTTTGGTAAACAGAGGGGCTGGGAGGAGGTATGTGACAAGTGGTGGCCCTGGGGAGGATGTGACACATGGAGGGGGAATGAGACAAATGGTGGGGCTGGGATAGTATTGGACTAGTGACAGGCCCTGGGGACACATGGAGGCCCTGGGGAGGATTTGGCAGATCGTGGGGCTGGGAGGAATGAGAAACACAAATGGGCTTAGGGGAAAAAAGAGACACATAAAGGAATGAGGAACAAGACATGGGGTAGGAAGGCAAACAAGAGACACACAGAGAGGCTGGAGAAAAGGAAGAATGAAGAATGGAGAAAAGGAATAATTAATCACATAGAGGGGCTGTTGAGAAAGAGAGTTGCTGGGGCAGAAGAAAGAGACACACACAGGGGCTATGGATGGGGAGAAAGAGACACACAAAGGTGCTAGGAGACAGTAAAAGATGCACAAAGAGGGTTGTAAGACACACACAAGAGGGGTGTAAGACACATAAAAGGGAAAAATGGGAGATAAGAAACACTAACCACGGGTAAGACAATTAAAAAGAGGGGATAAGAAACATGAAAGGGGGAAAGAAATGTAAAACGGAGGTTAAGAGAAACACAAGGGAAGATGGTTTTTTTGGGGGGGGGGAGTGAATGCAGCTTCACCTGTGTCTCCTCCTCTTCCTGTAACTCGGTTTTTCATCACAGGAGTCTATGCCAAAGAGTTGATTGACTGGTGAGAGAAAGACGTCTTATTAACAGGACACAATTTAACGTAGTGGTTCTGATATCTATAGCCTGCCCCTGCAAGCTGAGTACTGTAAATTCTGCCTTATCAGAGAAAAGGCTGTGTTTACATTGCTGCCTAGGAACAAAACTAGTGGCAGTCACTCAGCCAGCCACTAAAAGTACAGCATAGTGTGCAGCACCACTTTGAGCGTCTCCACACTCCCCATATAAATGCATTCATTTATTGCAACTTTCTGTGGAAAAGCATTGGATTGGCTGAGATCATCAAGCACACTCATAGGACATTCACTATTTCATTTTATATACATTCACTATTTCAGTCCCATTACCATTTTTTTCTTAAAAGAACACTATAGGGTCACGAATATAAACATGTATTACTGACCCAATAGTGTTAAAAACACTATATAGTCCCGGGCTTCCTCTTAACTCCCTTAAATAGGATTTTAAAAATCACCTTTATTATATAATCATGCATGGAGATGCTGAAATTTCCCCATAGAGATGTACTGATTTAATGCATCTCTATGTGGAGATGCTGATTGACCAGATCAGTGTTTGGCCCCGCTCCCAATCTGCCACCTTGGCTGAAATCATCAGAAGTGATGATTTCAGCCAATCCAATGCTTTCCCATGGCCTGCATTAAATTGTCTGTGACATTCTTAAAAGGCTTATGAACTGCCAATATCTGGACTATAGCTTCCCATTTGTATATCCCCCAGTGGACAAGTCACTGCTTTCTTCATCTTTGAAGATACACAACGTATTGCTCTCTGCTGCTCAAGAATATATTCCATCATCTCCATAGCGGAGTTCCAGCATGTAACAACATCTTGGTAAAGACAATGCTGTATCAAACCGGCTTGTCCTTCATGCTCCCTCTGACAAGTCTTCACACTGTGCTGGAAGTGCAAGCAAGTGCCAGTGCACATATCTACTGATGTGCTCCCAACCCTGTTTTAGCATAGCTAGAAGGGGTGTCAGCTTGGCTGCTGATCTATAACCTAAGCGTGTAGCAGAAAAGATTTGCATCCTACTCTGTCACCTGATGTGTCAGCTGTTGCACAAGCAACATTTAGCTGCCACCAATGTTGCTTGTGCAAATCATGCTGCAGACTCCATATGCCTGTGGTAAAGTGTGCATTCTGTCCGTCTACCTTACACAACTCCTCCTTTAACAGTGATACACACAAGTGATACAGAGAGGGTACTACTTCCCTTTGAAATGTTGTTCAGGAGGGCAAATGGTAATTACGACCCAGAGTTGTATCACTTGCTCTTCTAGGGCAAAAGAAGCAACCCCCAACAGCTAAAGCAGCAATATCTGACAGCTGTTTTGACATACCCATTACATATATAGAGCCAAATTCTTCAAGGGATGGTGATTGCCTTTTTTGCCCCACCTCTCTGTTGACTAGCTTGAGCTTCCTCATCACTTCTGACACTATCAGAATGAGTTGCTGCTACTGAACCTTCCTTCTTTTGAACAGCTTTGTGATCTGTATTGAGCTGATTGGTCACACTTGCACTTATACAATGGCCCCAAACTGATTGCCACACAGCCTGTAATATGACAAATGCCCATCTCATACACTATCAAAATGATCCCACACTCTTCCCATGCGCTGTAGTTCTGCTTCTGCATGACTTGAAAAGAATGATCTTTTAGCATTGCTGCTCAGTTTCTGCTCCATTCAGGTGCCACTGCTGCTTCTTATAATTATGCTTGTTGTTGTGACACTACCTGCTACTACAAGTGAGTGTGGCACTGGTTACAGGACAGCATGTACAGTGGGGATGTAACTATGACCTCTGTCAAACTAATAGTACTACTATTGCCACCCTTTTCTTTTTTGCTTTTCACAAGTATAAGTTGTCACTGTAGAGTCTTGCTGCTTCTTCTCTTTTTCTTCTGGGTCATAATCTAATTCCTCCTCATACCTCTACATCTCTCACACTCAGGGGTGTATTTACAATGAGGCAAACAAGGCAGTTTCTGGGGGTTTGCCACCCCTCAATCACCCTGGCAAATGCCTTGCCAGCCTCTTGTCCTGGGGGGCCCTCTTCAGGGCCCCCCGGGCTGGCAGCAGCGGCACTTTCCGGGCGGGCGGCGAGGGAGCACTAATCCTCCTGTTTAGCTCCCTTGCACGTCCCTCAGTGATGCCGGAGCCGGAATTAGACGTCATTCCGGCTCCGGCATCACTACGCGACGCGCGAGCTGAACAGGATAATTAGTGCTCCCTTGCCACAGCAGTGATAGGTCGGCTGCCCAGCAGCCTAACAGCCCCACTGGACCCCAGGGAAAGGGCTAATCCACCCCAGCATTCCCAAAGGTAAGGAGGCTGGGGTGATTGAATTTAAAAAAATGTGAGTGTGTTAATGTGTATGTGTGTGTGTGTGTGTGTTTGTTAGTGAGTGTGTGTGTGTGTGTCTGTTAGTGAGTGAGTGTGTCTGTGTCTGTTAGTGAGAGTGTGTGTGTGTGTGTGTGTGTCTGTTTGTGAGTGTGTGTGTCTGTTAGTGAGTGTGTGTGTGTCTGTGAGTGTGTGTATGTTAGTGTGTGTGTGTGAGTGTTAGTGTGTGTGTGTCTGTTAGTGAGTGTGTGTGTGTCTGTTAGTGAGTGTGTGTGTGTGTGTCTGTTAGTGTGTGTGTCTGTTAGGGAGTGTGTTACTATGTGTGTCAGTTTGTGCATGTCTGTTAGTGAATGTGTGTGTCTGCTAGTGACTGTATGTGTCTGTTAGTGAGTGTGTATGTCTGTTAGCTAGTGTATGTGTGTCTGTCTGTCAGTGAATGCGTGTGTCTGACACTGAGTATATATATGTCTGTCAGTGAGTGTGTATGTGTATTTAGAAGGCGGGATGGAGGGAGGTTAGGGGGGGTGGGGAGGGGGTGCCTGAGTTTTGTCATGCCTAGGGCAACACAAAACCAAGATACACCACTGCTCACACTGGTACTCGCTGCTGCTGCTGCTGCTGCTACCTTTTTTCCCTTTGACTATGTGTCGTACTAGTAGTAGAAATAGTAATATTTTGCGGTATAGGGCTTCTGCTTGCTTTTTGTGTAGTGATGGTTCTGGCTACACTGCTCCTTGTACTAGTGAGGGTGCTGCTGCTGTTATTTTCAATTGGTTCAGTAAACAGTCTACAACTATGTTTTGCAGGATCCAACTTATTCATTTTCATCTGTTTACTAATAGAATGCATTGACACTCTTTTCTCCTGTCTTTAAAGTTTACAATATAATAGTGGCATTCTCTTACAAGCTAATGGGCCAGATATTTAATTCCAAGGTTGTTGCTGCTGAGTCAGATAACCCATATTGCTACTGCCTGAAGCAGCAGACACTGCAGTTGTGGATGGCATAGGCTCTGGCTCATCATCATCTTTTACAACCTTCTTATTCATAGAAATCATACTTGCCCACTTTCTTGTGGTGCTGATTGCTTTGTTAAACTTTATTAACATTTAAATGTAGAAATTGGGATGGAAAATGAAAAACAGGCATTTCTATTTACATATTTTCAAAATCTAAAAAAGTAATTGTAAAACGCTTTTGGAAAGGAGGGGAGGTGTGAATTTTAAAGACAAACATGTATTCCTGTATATATAGTGTTAAAACCATCACCTAGCACTCTCCCCACCCTCGGATCCCTAAATATAGCACATTGTTTCCAGTCTGCTGCTGGCTCTTCCCCTGATCTGTCTGCTTGGCTGACATTATCAGAAGTGATATTCTAAGCCAATCACAATGCTTTCACATAGGAAAGCATTAGATTGGCTGAGTTTGTCAAGATGGCAGATCAGGGGCAGAGCCAACACAAGCCAAACACAGCCCTGGCCAATCAGCATCTCCTTATAGAGATAAATTGAATCAATACATCTCTATAAGGAAAGTTCAGCGTCTCCATGGAGGGGGTGGAGACACTAACTGTAAGTGCTGCACACTGTGCAGCGCTGCCTCAGGAGGCACCTCTAGCAGCCATCTGAGGAGTGGCCAGTGGAGGTATCCATAAGCTTAATGTTAACACTGCATTTTCTCTGAAAAGACAGTATTTACTGCAAAAAGCCTGTGGGGAATTATTATACTCACCAGAACAAATATTATAACCTGTAGTTGTTCTAGTAAATATAGTGTTCCTTTACAACTTTCAACAAGGGATATGTCTTAGAATATAGAGGTATCTTTGGACGATTGGCAAATGACCTAAACAGTTTGGTTTTCTGTCATTTAGTTAGAAAAAGAAAACAAAATTGCCATATCCCGAATGACTGAATGGCTCACTGACAGCATGTTAATCGGTCATTCAGTTCATTTGGTAATCATGCGTGCAAGACTGCAGCCAGGTATAGTGCAGCAACTATGTTTTGTTACCACTTTCTGACCAATCCTGTGACCACAGCAAGTGATGATATTGATTATTTTACCAGCCAGTGTCAAGTTCCTGCAAATTCTTTAGCTTTCATTAGTTTAGTTTATTACAAGGAGGGCGCTACTGGCTTGCAGCTCCCTCCTTGTAATATATAAAAATAGAAGCTGTGGGGCGCTGTGTCCCTGCCACTTCCTAACCCCCCCATATCTCCTATCACTCGATATGGGTCAGGCTGTCTGACAGTAGGGAAGCGCACTGCGCTCCCCTACAGCCGGTTATTACTTGTAGCGTGGCTGAGTGCAGCCCAGAGCTTTCCGCCTGCGGAGCCCAGCCTCTTCCCGCCCGCCCAGCCTACCCTGGTTTCTGCCGCAGGCTGTGTGGAGGGGGCGGGGATACGAATGACATCATATCCCTGCTCCCTGTGTACAAAACAGCGCGCCTGGTGCCCAGTGATGAGGCTGGGCTGTAAGACAGGACTCCACAGAGCCGGACAGCTCCCCAGGGACCAGATTGAACTGATGTAAGTATGTAATTGTGAATGTCTCTGTATGTATGTCTCTGTATGTATGTGTGACTGACACGTCCGCCGACGGATGCTCCTAGCGCCTCTCAAGGACCATCAGTACCGCACCAGACACCATAAGTACCGCAGACTCCATGAACCGCCATAGCTTGGTTGGGATCTCGCCGTCTCCTTCTCACCCTGGGGCTCCAACCTCTGGATCCAGGAGCGAAGGATCTCTCCTCCAAGAGAGTATAGCTGGGTCTGTCCTCCAATCTATACCAACAGCTATACCAGCTATATCACTGCTAGCTCTCTTCAGCTATACAGCTATACTCTCCTGCAGGAGAGCCCCAGCTATACTCTCTTGGAGGAGAGCCCCAGCTTAATAATATGAATTAAATTTGCGACAAAAAAATGAATTAAAATTGCCGTTGCCACATGTTCATATGCCGAATGGCGGCCACTTCGACTAGTTCGGCACTTCGGCTGTATCCGAAGTGCCAGTTCAAAAGTGCAGATCCTTTCCCATAGGATTTAAAGGGCCAGACACAGTATTTTAGAATCCAATCTGCACAAATGGAGTTTTTAAAAGGCAGTACACCCCAGGGGCCATAGTCACAAGGCAAAAGGCTAGCCATCAGTCCTCTCCTGTATGTATGTATATATTTATGTCTCTATAGGCATGTATGTATGTCTCTGTATGTATGTAATGATGTCTCTGTATGAATGTATGTCTCTGTATGCATGCATGTATGTATGTCTCTGTATACATATATGTATGTCTCTGTATGAATGTATGTATGTATGTCTCTGTATGCCTCTGTATGTATGACGGTATGCCTCTGTATGCCTTTATGTCTCTGAATGTATGTTTCTGTATGCCTGTATGTCTCTGTATGCCTGTAGGTGTCTGTATGACGGTATGCCTCTGTATGCATGTATGTCTCTGTCTGAATGTATGTATGTGTGTATGTCTCTGTATGCATGTATGTCTCTGTATCCATTTACTTATGTACATATGCATGTATGTCTCTGGTATGCATGTATGTATGTCTCTGTATGTATGTGTGTATGTGTATGTATGTAAGTATGTCTCTGTATGCATGTATGTCTCTGTATGTATGTATGTATGTCTCTGTATGAATGTATGTATGTCTCTGTATGCATGTATGTCTCTGTTTGTATGTATGTCTCTGTATGTATGTCTCTGTATGACTGTATGTCTCTGTATGTATGTCTCTGTATGAATGTATGGATGTCTCTGTATGCATGTATGTCTCTGTATGCATGTATGTATGTATGTATGCATGTCTCTGAATGTATGTATGTATGTCTCTGTATGAATGAATGTATGTATGTATGTATGTATGTCTCTGTATGTATGCATGTGTCTGCATGACGGTATGTCTCTTTATGCCTTTATATCTCTGGATGTATGTTTCTGTATGTCTTTATGTCTCTGGATGCCTGTATGTGTCTGTATGACAGTATGCCTCTTTATGCCTGCATGTCTCTGTATGTGTGTATGTCTCTGTATGTGTGTATGTCTCTGTCTGTTTGACTCTGTGTGACTGTGTCTGTATGTCTCTGACTGTGTCTCTGACTGTATGTCTCTGTGTCTGTATGTCTTTGTTTTGTTATGTCTGTGTTTGAATGACAGTGTACCTGTATTACTTTGATTGTGTGTCTTTTATGACTGTGTGCCTGAAAATGATGCCTGTGTGCCTGTGGCTTGGAAGGAAAGACACACAAACAGGGACTTATGAGAGACAAGAAAGGGGCTGGGGTAAGAAAGAGACCCAAAAGAGGGCTGGAGGGAAGAGACACACAAAGGGGCTGGGGGAAAGTAAGATACATACAAAGGGGATTGAAAGACACACTAAAGGGGGAATGAAATACAATAGAGCACAAAAGGGGTAAGAAATTCAAAGGGGTGTGGGGTTACAACAAGACACACAGGTGAAGATGCATTTTTTTTTGTAGGGGTGGTGGGGGCAGCAAAATGCATCTTCACTTGTGTAGCTAAAAATCCTTGCACCAGAATCTTGAAATGCCACACCTGTGAGGTGGATGGATTATCTCGGCAAAGGAGAAGTGCTTACTAACAAAGATTTAAACAGGAGAAGAAGCAGAGGCAGAGAAAGATACACTAAAAGAGTGCTGGGAGAGGTGGGAGGAGCACGAGGAGAGAGCAATATCTTGTAGACCGATATTGTGGAGGATGAGAAAAGGCTGTTGATGATCAACAGTGTCAAAAACCGCAGAAAGGTCAAGGAGAATTAGGATAGAGTAGTGACCATGAGATTTTGCAGCAAGTAGATCATTGGATACTTTGGTACCAGCTGTTTCAACACAGTGCCAAGCGAGGAATCCAGACTGAAGTGGGTCTTTCAAAGAGTTGGACTCAAAGAAGTCTAAATCTCGCATATACAGCTCTTTCAAGGATCTTGGACGCAAAATTCAGTAGCGAAATAGGACGGTAGTTGGAAAGGGAGTTAAGGTCAAGGTTGGGCTTCTTTAGAATTGGGGTTGCAGTTGCATGTCTGAAGGGTGATGGAAATATGCCAGAGAAGAGAGATTGAAAATTTTAGTGAGAGGTAGAGATAGAGAAGGAGACAGAGTACAGATGAGATGCAAGGGAATTGGATCTAGGGAGCAGGTGGTGGGGCGGGAAGACTGGAGCAAAGCAGTCATTTGGGTTCGCGGGAGAGTGTGGTTATGAGGGTATTGAAGTAATTTACTTTTGCAGAGGAAAGAGCCAAGCTGTATGAGCGCAGCATAAATTTAAAGTGGAGAAAGTTAGACGCACAGTGAGACTTTCTCCAACAGCGTTCAGCAGTTCTGGAGCATTTTGGCAGGTATCAAGTTGTTGGGGACGCTTGCTGCATTTAAATGTAGGAGGTGCCATGATGTGTAGTTGAGAAAAGAGGGTGGAATTGTAGAAGGAGGCAGCAGACCTAGGATAGGTGAGGTTTGAGATCGGTAAAAGGAGAGTTTGAAGATTAATGGAGAAATGCTCTAAATCAAGACATTGGAGGTCTCTGTGAGATTGATGTTCAGACGGTGAATGAATTAATAATGAATTAATAATATATGATTTGGATCCTGCTTGAGGTTTAAAAGTTTAAATTTTTTATATATTTTTTTTAAATTTTTACATCCCTTGCATTCACTACAATGGTTGAATCCATTATTTTTATTCATATGTGTGCTTAGAAAATGTGTATTTTGTACATTTACATAACTAGAGGTAAGTCTTAAATTTCAAACTCCCCTAAATATTACTTTAGGGTTTGTTTTTCCAAAAAAGCTCTTATTTAAAATACTTTTTAATTGTTTTTGATCTTTACTGTAATTAAAGATTAATGGTATTTTTCCTTTTTCTTCTCTTGAGGTTTTTTGTTTATAGTAGAGGGTGACGAACCAAACCTCGTCACCTCGTTCTTGGAGGAGCCTGTTTGCCAGCATCTTACCCTGTGATATGGCCCCTGCAATAGACAGGGGTGTTATAATAGAAACATAAAAGGAATCAACACAGTAAAGGAGGAGACTATAATTAAAAGTACCACAACAAGAGGACATAGTCTTAAATTAGAGGGGCAAAGGTTTAAAAATCATATCAGGAAGTATTACTTTACTGAGAGGGTAGTGGATGCATGGAATAGGCTTCCAGCTGAAGTGGCAAAGGTTAACACAGTAAAGGAGTTTAAGCATGCAGGGGATAGGCATAATGCTATCCTAACTATAAGATAGTGCCAGGGGCTAATAAAATAGTATTTAGAAAATTGGGCAGACTAGATGGGCCGAATGGTTCTTATCTGCCGTCACATTCTGTGTTTCTATGTTTCTATGACCTTGCTAAAATACTTTAAACAGGCTCTGTTCATGCAATTGGGGCTATATGGTTTGTTTACCAAACAACCGCACAAACCAGAGACCACCTTGGAGCTTTTTAACATCTATTAACAACTTGGAACGTTTCGCAACACAGTGTTCTAATTGTTCGCCTGGGTGGCCGCAATTCCCGAACACCGCTGGACTTCCATCATTGCCTGCGTTTGGTTACATATAAGTTAGAAGAGCACTGTTCAGTGGGATTATTTGTCTGGATGAGGGGAACAAGCTTCAGGGTAAGACTATTGACTCTGTTCAGTAGTTTGTTCGTTTTCAAACTATTGAACTAGACCGACCGCAAATCCTGATTCTCTAGAATTGTTTTGGGAATGGGACCATGCCTGCAGTCGGTCAAATAAATGACTTCCATATAATTCTTGAACCCCTGAACTGATCTGAGTGATTTTTGGATATGTTGGTTACCCAGATCAGGGCTATCAGGGGATATAACATTTGTGGGGTTTTATGTATTTTTGGGGTATGTTTTTTCTTTGCTTGGAGATAATTGGATTAGAATATTACAGTTACTGATTCAATTATCTCCCAGGCAGAAGGGAGGGCTTGTGTGCTGTGTGTGGTAGTGTTGGGCCTTGTAACCTTATTGTTGTTGGTCTGTGAAGTTTCAAATCAGTTCCCCACAAGGTCTCTGTGGGCATACCTCTTGCATGGGGATTGTTATATAAGGCTAAGTGTGGCTCCCATTAAACTGAGATTCGTTTACCCCTTCATGAAGTCTTGGCTCATGTTTGGGGGATTGTAGAACTGCATTCACTCTGGGGATTGCTATTTCACAATATTCCCCTGAGTATAATCATTAGCTCTTATAAGAGCTGTTCCTGTTACGCTCTCTGGACAAGGAGAAGTCTACCAACTGGAAGCTGGATCCTGGTCTTGGGTCCAGGGTGGGTGGAATGCAAGATCCCCAACCAAGCTGCGGTGGATTGTGGGAGTCTACATAGTTATTGTGTTCCAGTACATTGCTTATGGTGCTTGCAAGTACAAGGAAGCAGCAACTGAAAATTCTCAATTTTTTTTTTATTTCCTCATCAAGATATCCAGATATCCAGAGTCTTTTAGGCATGTCTGCTTAGTTATTAAATAAATTAAGATCTGCACAATTTCGTCTCAACCTAAGAAACTGTCTCCTAGGAATATTCTCCAGCCATGGTCAAAAATGGCAACTCTCTTTGTGGGTGCAACTATTCACATATACCTTTTTTTTTTAATGTTCTAATTTGATTGTCTTCCACATAAATTTCTAAATCTTTACTCACTTCTTGAGTCAAGTGGATATTTCATTGAATATTATTTAAAAAATTTAAAATATATATTTTGTACAGGACCAGGTTCACACTCCAGTCATGCTTGGAATAAACATTGTCTTTTCCCAATGTGCCATAAATAAATTGGCATAACTGGGTGCGAACTTGGTCCCCATTGTTGTACCTCTACACTGTAAAAAATAATCACCTTCGAACCAAAAAAAAATAGTTTTTAAAGAATAAAAAGAATACCTTCCATAATAAAATCAATTTGGTCAGCAGGATATAAGGTAGACCTTTCTAGAAAAAAATGTGCAGCCTTACATCCCAAAAGATGATCTACATGTGTAGAGGCTCGTAACATGTATAAAGGAATAGGATAAAAGGAGGATTGTTTTTTAAGATCAGTATCCCCTTAAGGACACAGCTTCAGAAGCTTGACTTACGCTTAATGACACAAGCAATTTTTGCATTTTCTTGCTGTTTGCGTTCAACTGCAATTTGCATCTCTCTCATTTATTGCACCGACACATATTATATACTGTTTTTAAAAGGACAGAAAGGGCTTTAATTTGATATAACATATATATATATAAATGCTTACTTATTATAAAAAAATACAGAAAAATGCAAAAAAAATGAAAAATATTGTTTTTTTTTACAGTTTTTGCAATAATAATGTGTGCATAATTAGTGCAGGTTAAGGAAAGTAATTAAAAATAAATTTATTTATTTGTTCTGATTTACAGAATATATAATGTGTCTGGGATTTTAAGTTTTTTTTGGTAGTTACAGGTCACAAAGCACAAGGAGTAAAATAAACTTTTAATGTGGAGCGATTTTAGAATTTGGTATGTTTGTCTTGTAAGCTTAATAGCCATAAATGAAAACAAAATTGCCACACAAAAGTATATATTTATATAAAGTAGACATCACGGGCTATTTACCTAAGGTTGTTTTGACACTTTCTACGTAGCCATTTCACCGCCAACCTCTGCTAAATATTGGAGTCAAATTGTGTTCTTTTTGGTTTTTGGCACACAAACTTATAACAGAGAAATTCTCGTGTATATTTTGTAAAGTTGGTGTGTGCTATTCCTGTACAAAGTTTTATTTTGTGTTCAGTTACATCTGCTGAGTAAAATGACACCCCCATTGTATGTCTTTTGCACTATTTCGTGAAGTTACAGTGCCATACAGGATACCTGTCCTTTTCAGTATTCACAGTAGAATTTTGAGAGATGGATTTAATGAGCCTTAGCTTCCATTTTGGGGTATTATAACAGTTTGGCTGTTCAAAAAAACCCCACAAAGGCCTACCATTTGTAAAAGTAGACACTCCAGGGTATCTCATAAGGTGCATATTGTGCCTTAACATGCCCCCATTTTTTCACCAATATATGCCAAAGTATGTGGTAAAAAATAATTTTGTGCATTTTTTACATACGGATTGCATTTTTGCTGGGCGTTTTGTATATTTCATATGTGCCACTAAGTTCAAACCCCCCAAATTATGCTCAGCTAAGTCTTCTGAGTAAAATGACACCCCATATGAATGTCTTTGGCACTATTTCGTGAAGCTACAGTGCCATATAGGAGACCAAGCCATATCCGTTTTTACCAAACTTTGAATTTTGACGCTGGGCCTATGTGCAATTTCCAAGCATCTTCGCAGGTTTTAAATTCAAACTACCCCACAAAGGCCTACCATTTCTTAAATTAGACACCCCAGGGTGTTTCAAAAGGTATAGTTTGAACCTTAGCGTGGGATCATTTTTCCGCTAGCTTGTACCAGATGTAGTGGTAATAAGCGTTTTTTCTGCCTTTTTGACATACAAAGTGAGTTTGCACAGTATATTTTGCAAACCTTATGTGTGCTACGACTGTATAATACTTCATATGTTGCTCAGCTATGTCGGCTGAGTACAGCAATACCCCCGTATGTACCTTTGCCAGGTATGTGTGGACATCGGAGGGGCACATTTGGGACACAGCCATTCCAGTTTTTTTCAAACTTTGAATTTTTATGCTGTGCCTATGTCCCATTTTAGAGTATTTTACCAGGCTATATAATCCAAATTCCCCATAAAGCCATACCATTTCTTAAAGAAGACATCCCAGTGTATTTCAAAAGGCATATTTTGAACCTTAGCGTGGGATCATTTTTCCGCTAGCTTGTACCAAGTGTAGTGGTAATAAGCATTTTTTCTGCCTTTTTGACATACAAAGTGAGTTTGCGCAGCATATTTTGCAAACCTTATGTGTGCTATGACTGTATAATACTTCATATGTTGCTCAGCTATGTCGGCTGAGTACAGCAATACCCCCGTATGTACCTTTGCCAGGTATATGTGGATGTTGAAGGGGCGCATTTGAGACGCAGCCATTCAGTTTTTTTCTAACTTTGAAGTTTTACGCTGTGTCCATGTTCCAATTTGGAGTAGTTTAGACGGTTGGTTATTGAAACTTCCCCACAAACACATACTATTTATTAAAGAATACACCCTGGGGTAATTCAAAAGGCATATTTTGAACCTTGGCGTGGGATAATTTTTTCTCTAGTTTGTTCCAGGTGTAGTGGTAATGAGCGTTTTTAAAATGTATTTTTTTACTTTTTATAACTTTTTTACTTTTAAAAACTAGTTTTTAAACTTTTGTTTTGCTTATAAATTTTTTTTAAACTTTCCTAAACTTTCTTAAAACTTTTTTACAGATTTAACATTTTTCTAAGATTTTTTTTTTTACCGTTAACCCCTAACTAGCAGTACGCAGCAGTAACAGTAAATTCCCCATTATCCCATAACTCCCACCCACCCCAGCTAGCAAAATATATAGTTATAAAATATTTAAATTAATTAATTAAATAAATTGAACCCCTGAGGGTTAAAAAAATAAATAAAAGTTAATCCTCAGGGGTTAAAAAAAATTAGATCACAGTATAATACTGTGATCTCTATTTGATCGCTGTAGGCAGTGATCGACTGGCAGGGAAGGGGTTAATTTTTATTTGGACTAGGTAAAGTGTGTTTTTTTTGTTTTTTTTACTTAAATGTTATTAAAACATTTTTTTAAGCTTAATTTTTAACTTTTTAAAGTTTCTTTTAAAACTTTTTTTAACGTTAACCCCTAGTTAGCCTAACGTCAAATCCCCCAATTCCCCACTAACTTCCACCCACCCCAGCTATCTAAATATATAAGTAAAAAATAATTTAATTAATTAATTTAATTAATTTAACCCCTGAGGGTTAAAAAAAAAAAGAATTAACCCTCAGGGGTTAAAAAAAAAAATCAGATCATAGTAAAATGTAATCCCTGCCAATTGATCACTGTAGTCAGTGATCAATTGGCAGGGAAGGGGTTAATTTTTTATTAAAATGGGTAAGGGGGGGGGACTTTAAATAAACTTTATTTTTTTTTACAGCAGGGGGCAGGATCAGCACTAATCCGGCTCCCTGCACTTCACACAGAACCCGGAAGTGCAGGGAGCCGGTAGGTGAGTATAGAGAGCACATGTGCTCGCTCAGACTTGCGGTCAGAGCGAGCACATGTGCTGGGCAGCCTGACCGGGTGCTCCCGGTATGCCTCTAATGCAGAGGCATACCGGGAGCACCATTAACCCCGCGATCGCCGCGATAGCGGCGATCCGGGGTTAATTTTACCGCGTGACGGACGAGGTCCGTCACCCGTCGTTAAGGGTCTCCCCTGTGTGACGGACCTCGTCCGTCACCCGTCCTGAAGGGGGTATGGATAAAACCACTATTGACTTCATTATCACTCTCTCTTAATTACTTGTAACTGTGTTTTTTTCTATAAAAAAAAACTTCTTTAAATATAATCTTCTCATAAATCTATTTATATCTGTATATACTTCAAATTTATTCACTGTGCAGCTAGGAGCAAATTTAAAACCTTTATTTAAAATACGAATATGTGCAGAATGTAAAATTGTTTTGGATAAGTTCTTACCTACTCATTATATTTCCTCTTTGGTCTCTCCAATCTTTTTTCCACCCTATTTCCCCTACTTCTATATCTCGGTATCTCCTTTTTGTTTGAATCAGGGTTCTCATAGGTGGTTCTTTCCACCCTCTCCTAAAAAAATGAGTCTCCGAGTTCTCCTCCATATTTTTTATGGGTTCAAAGTGATTAAAAGTGGGGATTTCTTTCCTCTGGAGGGTTGGAGATCTTTCTCGATTTGGTATATAATAGAGCACTTTGTAAGTCCTTTATTATTATTAGTAATAGTATTAGTATTTATATAGCGCCATCAAATTCCACAGCGCTTTACAATGGGTGGACTAACAAACATGTAATTGTAACCAGACAAGTTTGACGCACAGATACAGAGGGGTTGAGGTCCCTGCTCAATGAGCTTACATGCTGCAGGGAGTGGGGTAAAGTGACACAATTTGTTTATCTCTCCTATTCCTATTCCTATTTCTATTATCTCTCCTTAATTCAGTCCACTCTTGGGTCTGATTTTCCACTCTAGGTGGTCCACCTATCAATTTGGTAATTTTTGGTTTCATATTTTGGTTTTTAGAATTATGTTGAGTCTAGTTAGTTTTTTCAAATTTTCTTCTTTTTTAAAACTATTTATTTAGTGTCTTTTGAGTGATTTTAGATACTGTGGGTAGTTGCATCCACATTTGTTCTTTAGTGCCAATCCATCCATATTTTATCCTTTATTGGATTAAATACTATATATCTTCAGGAAGAGGTATAGGATTCACTCCTTTTTGTATTGTGAATTCTACTATTTGTATTGATACCCCTTTCCCCTCACTATGGATGCTGTAACCTCCTATAACTATCCCTATTCCATTCTCTATAATTAGCATCATCCTTATTGTGGCAATACTCTCGTGATATCCCCATTTTAGGTTATCTTTATTAATTGTTTAGTGAATTTTTCCCTTTCTAATCTTATTGAGAGCAGACCCCACCCTGGGATAGGACTAGATAATTGTACCTATTTCCCTTCATTCTATCGTTGCTGCATTCACTCTTAGGACTGTAAAGTTTTCCTTATAAATACCAATCTAGGGATCTCCTTTTGGGATCTATTGAAATCTAATCATTGTAGATTTTCTTTTTTTGCTCCCCCTGTTTCTTCCTTCGATTGTTACTATTTCTCACTTATATAGTAACACCCAGACCTAAAGCACTTGCTGAAAAGCTGTATGTGTGAAGAGTGTCCATTTTTTCATTTTGGCAAAAGCACAGATTTCAATAGAAATTAAAACTTTCTTAAATTATACTGGTTACACCCTCTTGGATTTTCAAGCAGACAGACGCTCCTGTTACGTCCTATCTTAGCTGCACTAAAAAGAGGCAGCAATTGCCTAGTTGCTCTGGTGCGTTGCAAGCATTTCTCATTGAGCTACATTGGGAAGTCTGTGATTGAACAGTCACAAAAGGTCTGGGCAGGGTTAGAAGAGTAAGGTTTGGAAAGGCAGTTTTTGCAAGCTGTTTTTAGATATAACTCAAATGAAAATGTTCCTATCAACGTAAAATATATACTTAATTTTTTATTACGTGTATGTTTCGCAGTAATAGTTGTAATGGTTCAGCCAAGACAAATTTTCTCACAAGTCTAATGATAACCAGAGTAAACATTAGAGTGAGTAAGGCTCGATGGGCTAAATTTCATCTGCAAAATATATGAAAATTAAATATTCGATTTAGGTAGGAAAATTATTGAATTGTTCATGGTCACAATCATATAATTTTAAAAATAAACATTGCATACCTAGATCAATATAGGAATGAATTTTTCTATAGTGTGTTGAGCTGCCTACAAATGTTCAGGCTCATATAAATAATGTATTTTGGTCAACTGTGAGTCAGCTAAGCTATTGATAACCCCTCCCAACCACCTGTCCTCTATTTTATTCTTTTCATAATTAGAGCTAATGCTACTCATTTTAATGATGACATTTACCTTCCCAATCAATTCTGACAGATTTCCTCCCATCCTGCTGGCGAGAGCTGCCAGATTCTTTCCCATACAGCCTCCTAATGCTGCCAGATCTAATAACCCTGCAGGTCTTGAAAAATACTTAGTATACAAGAAAATTATTTATAAGCCTGATTAAAGGTAATAAATAACTTTTTTTCTCTGACATATACTTTAATTGGGGATTTTCTGATCAGTGAGGTGTGGAATTTTTCCAATCCCGTTCTCTATATTGATTTGAAGATATTCTAATATCCTGATCTTTTGAATCTATCTTTTGAATCTATGCTAACAATCCCACACTCTCATCTCCTAAACCTTACCCCCTCGAATACCTCCGCTGGAGATTTATTTATACGGCACCAACATTTTTAGTTGGTCTTTCAAACATGTTAACTTCTCCTCTTGCTAACTTTGTTTACCACGGTAGATAACAAGATAGCTGAGGAAGGTAAACTATTTATATATACAGTTTTTATTGACTAATACTACTACATTTGTATCTACCTAAAGAGACCAACTGGAATAGCTCTATGTGGCGGGTAACATAGTTCCTGCTTTTTATTATTAATTTTTAACTTTTTCATAATGACGTTTTTTCATATATAAGAAGGCAGATTCTGTAATTGTGGGAGGGGTTACCTGGCTATATAAGCTCAGGCCCTCTACATATCAGAACCTTCACCGCTGGGTTCATTCAGAACCTCTGACTTCCAGTACCGATCCACTCACATCAACCTCGCTCCACACTGGTCCAGTTACCCGACTTACCTTACTCCGACTATGCCCGACCGCCAGTTCTGCCAGCTCCGGTAACCCGACAACAGATCCGAACTGCTGAACTCTCACCTCCCCACAACTTCCGGGGTACAGGTCTGGGTCCCATTCGTTTACACAAACTGTGAGTTCGCCTGAAAGGGTACCCATTCACACGGCATTCATGCCAAACACTTAGCATTCACCCATACATATGAAATTGTCATTTTGGGGCCACTCACACTACGCATGTGTACTCACAGTTCTGGTGCTAACCTTCGGTCATTCATCATACGAACAAGTCGTTCCAAACAAACAATCTCTATACACGCATGTAACAGCACCCCAAGGCATAAAAGGGTTAAACCGCTGTTTAGTAGAATTTCCCCTTCCAGAGACACAGGCACAGCTACTGTAGACACCAATCCACCGAACCGGAGAAGCATATGAATGCTGTAAACAGCCGAACTGGAACCATATGAATGCTGTAAACAGCCGAATAGGAAAAACCATACGAAAGGTTTACACTTCTAGCAGTCGAACTGGAACAGCATACAATAAATCCACCCCAAGAACGAGACAAAGCTCCGTGCTGATGGTCAAGCAGTGAACAGACAGAGCTGTGGGTTTATTGTTCTTATATACACATTCTTACACATTAGTACCACCCACAGGGTTTTGGAAAACAACCAATAAACACGTACAATACACTCAGACACTCCCACACAAAATCCTCCCCTCTGTCTGTGATACAATTACCTTACACAATGGGTAATGTAATTATCACAGGCAGAGAAATACAGTTTTTCCACATTATTCAAAATTGTAATAGTATCCATCACATTCACGTATCACATTTTCAGAATCAGCATACTCCAAATACAAACATACATCAAAATCATACAAATTGGTCCAGTGGTTCAAAAGATAGATCGTAGTCTTTTGTGACCAAATGAAGCATGGCTTTTCTGCCCAAAACCAGTTCCACGGAGTCTTCTATCATGGAGATAATTGGGAAGTAATCCAATTATCTCCAAGGACAGAGGCAAAACTCCATTGAACACATGGCAGCAAAAGACAATAAAATACATAAAAATATAAAACTGTGCAGCCATTGCATAAAACAGGCCCATTCAACATATACCCAGATAGCCCAGATCTGAGCGCACATTATTACTGAATGGCGCTCAGATCACACACATACAGTTCAATTGCCATGGAGCCAAAGTCTTTCCCATAGTCTTTCATTATACAAATGGGCTCCATTTCATAGCTATCTGGGGTATCACCGCTCAAACAGGGCAAGCACCCAATGACCCGGCTTTCGTGTGTTTGCAGGGGAAAATCAAGCGTTTCAACATGGGGCCATAGTCTAAAGGGAGCAGGCGGGCAACCAGGCTCCTCCAATGCAATGTGGCGAGATTGCTCTCGTCACAACGCGGTAGCTCAACTACGACCTCTAGCGGCCAAAGTACATAACAAATTCTCTTGTTCTCATTAAAATGTATGTCACTCATGTTATGTTTGCAATCTGGTCTCCGTTAGCATCACAATACAGTAGAAGTAATGTCTGACAAATAGAGTAATTGCACCCTGATTGGACTAAAAATTATCCATCTGCTCTGTTACATTATACAATATGAAGTTTACATCTCGTACTTTTGGCAGTTCCTAAACTCTCTAATTGTCTGTTCCACACGCTAGGTATTTACCAAAACCGTATTACTCCTCGCGGTCGCATTTGACTGCCTTAGTTCACCAATATACCCATTAAAGACGTATTTCTGTTTAACTTCATACGGTACGTATATTCATGTGCAATTATTATAATTTTTTATGCATACCCCATGTCTTATCTGTCCTATAATATTCCCTACATACGGTTTTTCATTTCCAGATCAACACATGGTCACTACTGGTCACCAACATCCATTTCGTTGGCCACACTCCTAAGTAAATCGCAAGCTCCCTTACCCTAATTTTTAGAAATTTCAAAGTAAACCGCTAAACAACTCTAGCACACTCAAGCTTATCCCTCACCGTAATGTCCAATTCCCTCCTTTGTATTTACTTGGAACGCATGAGAGTGACCACATGTTCCCTCATGTTCTCATCCATACTCTATTTTCAGGCCTTTGTTACCATCACTACTCTCCCCCAGAACTTTGGGGAATAATTGGCTTCTTACTCCCAGCACGTTACAGGTATACAGAATATCACCTCATCTCTTGTCTTTATACCTTAACATATTGTGTAGAGGATAACTCTGTTTTTTTCCTCAGATAACCACTACTAGCAATTCCCGACAGTACCACTGTCATCATTTCCACAGGTGAGTTTTACTCACAATATATATATAAAAAAGTTGTAGGCCTAACCCACATTTTCTTTTCAGGTTCTCAAGTATTTATCATTCTCCATAGAGAACCCTAACGATTTCATAAGCTAGGTACATCTCCATTTTACATCCTACTCCCAGTACCCCAACAGAACAGGATTGGTCATCATAGAAACACAGAATGTGAAGGCAGATAAGAACCATTCGGCCAATTTTTTTTAAATACTTTCATTAGTCCCTGACCTTATCTTATAGTTAGGACAGCCTTATGCATATCCCATGCATGCTTAAACTCCTTTACTATGTTGAAGGGACAATATAGTCACCAGAAAAACTACAGCTTATTGAATTTGTTCTGGTGAGTAGAATCATTACCTTCAGAGAAAATGCAGTGTTTACATAACAGCCTAGTGATAACTTCACTGGCCACTCCTCAGATGGCTGTTAGAGATCCTTCCTTGGTCATGGCTGCCTAAAATCCATCCAAACATTCAGTATCTTCTCCTTCTGATGCAGACACTGAACTTTCCTCATAGAGATTCATTGATTCAATTCATCTCTATGAGATGCTGATTGGCCAGGGATGTGTTTGAATTGTGCTGGCTTTACTCCTGATCTGCCTCTCTGTCAGTCTCAGCCAATCCTATGGGGAAGCATTGTGATTGGATCAGGCCACCACTTCTGCTGATGTCAGAGGTCAGAGGCAGGTCAAAAGGAAACAGTGACAAGCTATGCAGCTGCAGATTAGAATTCAAGTAAGATATTACTATATTTGGAGGGTCCAGGGGGGCTAGATGGTGGTTTTAACCCTATAGGGTCAAGAATACATGTTTGTGTTCCTGACCCTATAGTGATCCTTTAACCACGGTACTTCAGCTGGAAGCCTATTCCATGCATCCACTACCCTCTCAGTAAAGTAATACTTCCAGATATTATTTTTAAAACCTTTGTGCCTCTAATTTAAGACTATGTCCTCTTGTTGTGGTAGTTTTTCTTCTTTTAAATATAGTCTCCTCCTTTACTGTGTTGATTCCCTTTATGTATTTAAATGTTTCTATCATATTCCCCCTTTCAAATGGCTGTTATTAATAGCATTCGTCCCTAGCTTACTGTAATTAATCTACTCCTGTGAGGCCAACACCCATCCTCATCAGAGGTATACGCCCCTCGGTCCAATGCATAGCTAGAGACTCACATTAACCACTGTTGGTTACTAGGTAGGACTTCACCAAGCCACACCCAAGGATATTATGTCTTGTTACAGTCACCGAGGTCAACATTCCCACTACATCATTCAGTGGTCCCCGCCCACTTGGCCCTTCTCATAGATAGAGCCTCTCTCGCCACTTAGCACTAGCAGGGCTCCTTCTTCCTTGTAGGTCCTTGTAGGTCAGATAATGTTTTGACTTAGGCTTAGCTAGAGCCAGTTGACACAGGCATTATCCTTACCCATGTTTTCATTCTTAGTATGTCTCAAATACCTGAACAAGATGAGGAACTGGCAACACCTGAAACCCCAACCAGACCTTCCACCCCGGCCGGTCCAAGCACCCCTACTGAGAATCTGGAACCATCCAGCCCATATTCCCTGCGGTCATGGACTATCCCTAAGCTCGAGGATGAATTACATTGCATGGGGGTCCCTTTCCCAGCTACAGCTCACAAGGCCGAACTATATAAAATATTTATTTGCAATACCTGTACTCCCCAGCCTGGAGTTGTCCTGCAACCCGACAACTATACAGAGATCAAGGGTTTAATGTCATCTCTACTTGCCTCTATCAATACGATCAGCGTTAGGCTGGACAAACTGGAATCTCCTCAGACATCGACAGTTGTCCCACACATATTGACCTCCACTAAGGCACCCACCCACGGTAATGACACCACCACAAACCCAATACTTCCACTCACATTATCACGCCCGCCTACTTCGTACCCCCGACCATTCATAAAGACATCCTGGAAGTCAAGGACATAAATCTAGTCTAGTTGCTGATTGCTTCTCAGGACGTGGTTGAGAACAAGGCATACTGCTATGGTGATCTTTCGGTTGTTTTGAAAGCCAGAGACTCCAGACTCAACTGAAAGCTAACCATACCCGAATTTGTCCTTGCTTTTGGCCTTTATCGTGACGTAATCTGTTCCACTTCCCCTCACCATAGGGAGGAGTTGGAGTTGGTTATCAAAATGGCAGCTTATCTAGCCTTCTATGGATTCTTATGACCAAATGAATTCACCAATTCACTACCACCTGCACCTTAAAATTATAAACCTTGAAAAAGATACTGACCATTATGTACTTACGTACCATCAATCACACTAAAACAAATCAGCTAGGCCCGCCTACTATGAGAAGACCACAAGAGAACTTTAGTGTACATGTGTATTTCTTTGTAGATTTTATTTACATATTGTTTTTTACTATTATTTACAATAACCTTATTTGGCATATGCTAATAGTCCAATGGATCCTCTTCTGCTGCTGTTTAAAGAAGAGTGGTAGCCCTCTTAAAGGCACATATGCTCTTGCATCTATAGCCATGTTCAAGCTCTTATTAAGAGACAAAGCCATTTGCACATTGCACTTTCCGATTTAATTTATTTGAATATACTGCACTAGGCTCTTTATTGCTTCCATCTCCCTCCTTTCATTTTCTCTTCCCTCTACTTGAGGATATCTGAGTTAAAAAGAAGAGGGATTGTGTAACCTAAGTACACGCAAATGAATGAGATTTGAGCCTATCCTAGCTGGCTCTCCTCCATGTGAGTGTGTGTAATTTGGATTTTATAACAAGACACGGAGGCTAATATTGCATATCCCTTTCTTTACTGTCCACCAATAGCAGCAAAGGATATAAACAGAATGAAAAAATAATGAACATACGGTAACATAGACCCCTCCCTGATCACGTCCCAGTATAATAGGCAGCACCTCCCTCCTATCTCCCTCTTTCTTATCTGCTCCACAGTCAGATAAGTACACTTTTTATCTCGGTGGTTATTGTATAAACAGAATGAAAAAATTATGAACATACAGTAACATAGACCCCTCCCTGATCAAGTCCCAGTATAATAGGCAGCACCTCCCTCCTATCTCCCTCTTTCTTTGCTGCGCCACAGTCAGATAAGTACACTTTTTATCTCGGTGGTTATTGTTGTAGATCTTCTATATATTTTTATGTTTATATTTATATACTTATATATATATATTTACTATTACGTATGTTCCACTATATATGGTATTGTCTTTACTTGACTGTTCAGGTTCACAGACCAGTATGATTGATATCCCCTATACTTTGGATGTTGTTTCTCCTTTCTCCTTTTTCGCCCCTTCCGGGCTTAATCTGTTTTTCATTGTTACTCACCTTTTCTTGGAAAAAGAGAAAAAAACTGCGCTAAATTGCCACAATAAAATTATTAGGAAAGGCAGCACTTCTCAAAGATGAGTCCCCAATAATCCCCTAATGGTAACAGATAGCAAGAACAAACAAAGATATAAGGATGCGCCTAAAACTTGATAAAATAAAGGACTAAATTAGTCAGATAAAATACAGAATAAAATAAGTAATAAAACAATAGTCCAATAAAATAGGCTTATCACAGTCTGTGAGGGTAGGTCCCACTTGTAAAGGAATATTCTTTAGGGTGTAGATGGGATCGTATCTTCAAATGTTGAAAATTCAGCATATGTGGAGAGAAAAATAAAAACAGGACTCCAATGGCACAGTAAATCGGTGTATAAAATAAATATAAAAGTATAAAATCAGTCTTACTCACACTTTTCAGAGCTAGGATCAGCTCTGTTATTGCTCGCGTAAAGTGGAATGATCCCCACTTCAAGGATATATAGAGTGAATTTTAATAGTTGAATATCGGACGTGGGTTCAGCGTTCAATTTGACGTAATACGACCCAGAGGAAAAAATGAAATAAAATATATAGTGCTCACTGTATGTAATCCAAAACTAAAAGAAAGTAAAGTATACTACTCACGTAAAGTAGAGCAGACTCAAAACTGCTCAGTGAAGGCGCTCGGGTGGTAAAATCCCCACCTATGGATTCTTTGCACTTCCTGCAGGGTGAGCCGTATACGTAAAATCAATTAAAAGAAAATGTATGTAAAATCAGGTAAAGGAGAAAGCAAATGGCAATAAAGTATTTTATGCCAATAAAATATCGTTATTTTAAAATTAAGAACAAAATCTATTAATAACTAAACGCGTTTCGCCTTAACAGGCTTCTTCAAGTAGAAGCTACTATCTACTGTGTCTATTACATGACGAAGAGTCATGATTTTATTAAAGACACTGAGGTGAGTATTGTCCCGCCCGTATTGCACTTCTCACTTTATGTTCTTTATTTTTCCCGCCCAGTTTGTTTTGATATGTAGGGGAAATGTATGGACTCGTTGGTACAGTAAGTGGGGCCTGTGTAGTAGGGGGATTTGGTTGAGTAACTAAGGGGAGTTCGGGTCTACCTGGTTTTAAGACTGGGGAGGTATGTGGGGCTTTGCATCGCCTGGCCCTGATGTTAGTCTCAAGTACTGATTTAACCCTTGGGCTCCTGTTCTTTATGTTTTCACAGCCTGATCTGAACCGGTCAAGTTTTTCTGCATGTGAGGACTGCCCTTGTGGATGGAGTTTGTTCTGCTGTCGTTCCGATGTACTTCCCTGTTATTGAATCGATAATCCTATGTTTTGGTCCGGAAGTTCTGCGTTTTCTTCTCACTGGACGCTATTGGTGTTCCTGTTTACGGACTTTATTTTACGGTGTCGCATCTTAAAAAAGAGGGAGATAGGAGGGAGGTGCTGCCTATTATACTGGGACTTGATCAGGGAGGGGCCTATGTGACTGTATGTTTAATAAAATCATGACTTTTCGTCATGTAATTGCAAAATCATGCAATTTCATACTCTTGCCTTTATTCAATTGTATTACACTATGAGTTCTATTTTTTTTTTATAGTACTTTACTGATGCTTTAACACCTAACGGTTAAGTGTTATTTTTACAAGCACTCCACCATACGTACTAGTTGTGACTTATTATCACTGTTTAACCTTCTATGTCATATGAATGTAACTGTGGAAGGAGTGAGAGAAACTTACACTTGTGTGGTAGCTGCTACAATATTTTCCACTTGCACTTAATTGTATCCAAAGTACCTTAAGCACAGAGCACTTTTGTTTTAGACTTTATTATAATTCTCTTCATCTGTGCAAACTGCTTGATAAAAAGGTCTCAATAGTGAGAATGATCAAGAACTCAATAGTGAAAGTAATGGTCAGGAAATGAAAGGGAAACTATGAAATTGTTGATATAAATTCAAAAAATTATTTGAGAATGATATTAAAATTAGGTGGGAAATAGCCACGCTAGAAAAGTATGCCAAGGAAAAAATTACACCAAGAAGTCTGGGATTTTCAAAACACCTCTTGTTTGACCAAGAGGAGGAAGACTTTATTAAAATGGACAGACCTCTTGGAAATGTTTTCCTTTGCATTAATTGGTTTAATCATTAGTAGACTTAAACACTCTTTAAATCAACTAGCTATTGAGATTAATGAATTAAAAAAATGTCTTGATTACTAATATGCCTCCTGATGATTACACATCAAAGGGTTACTCATTAAACATTGGGATGAAATCTGGCTAAAATGGCCAAATTCTGCCTGGAATGCCAATGTTTACTAATGCAAGAGGAACATATCTTTGAAAGAGATGGAGGAGGGAAGAAAAAAATAGGGAGCTGAGTGGGAGAGACACAAGAGAAGATTAGGAAAGTGAGGCTCATTTAGGAGAGTAAAATATAAGTAGGGAAATTAAAAAAGTTATACGTAGGGGCTTGAGACAATAATTGTGAAAAATATAGGCAAAGGGACAGACATTGGGAAGAAATGAGGGAGAGGGATAAGTATGAAATGGAAGTTGGTATGAAGGTGAGAGAGAAGAGGCACAAGTAGATGAATACCAGGGAGAAACCAAGGATTATGGGAGCGAGAGAGATACAGAACTGGAGGAATGAGGAAAGAGACTGACCGAAGAGGAACACAGGAATCCTAAAGAATAAAAATGATACACACAACAGAAAAATACAGGCTTTTATTAAGCTCTACACTTAATCTAAGTACATTCACACTCAAACACTATATGTTAGGTGTTCTTTACAATATTATATAAAATATCATCTCTCTCCCTTTAGGGAGACATTGACGTTCATAACGTAACCTTATTTAAACGTTCAACTTCAATGCCTTGGGGCACATTCAATGCGTTTAACCTACCATGTGGTTTATTCTTATTCCCTTAACCCTAGGTGCCGTTTATCCAAGTCCAAGTGACTCACCTCTCATCTCCTGAGATACCTACCTAAGACTGATTGATTCCACATTGCCAAACCGGATTGTCTTTTAAACTATTCTTTTAAACTATTAACCACTCCCCTTATTCCCTGAAATTCTAGCAAGAACAAAAAATGCTAAGGTTTTTACCAAACTTGACCTCCGAGGGGCTGACAATCTACTCTGAATAAGAGCTGGAGATGAATGGAAAACTGCTTTCAGAACAAGATATGGACACTATGAATACCTAGTGATGCCTTTTGGCATTTGTAATGCCCCTGCATCTTTTCAAAATGTATCCACGATATATTCAAAGACTTCTTAGATGTTTTCATGGTTGTCTATGTAGATGATATCCACATTTTTTATAGACTAAGGATAAACACATTAAAAAAGGTCCTACCTCATCTTAGAATACATAAATTGTTTGCTAAACCCCGTGACAGACCCATCCGTATGAACTAGAATTGCTGTGTTCGTCTGTTTGCCGTTTGTATGAATTTCACCATTCGTATGCCTTGTTTAAGGGAATGTATTTTTTTGTCGAACGGAACTACCGAACGGACAGCCACCCAGAAGAGAAGTGTGCTGCTGGTTAACCTATTGATCCCAATTAGAACGTTGCGGTTAACCACAGACACTTCTCAATTAAAACCGAATACAGGGTGGTCGTTTGTCGACCACGAGGCGGCGGCCATTTTAACCATGCGAAAGACCAGCGGTGTTCGACAGTTATTTCATGGAACTAAAAACGGACACTTTTTCAACCGAACACCCCTGAAACCGTCAACCTCCCTTCTCAATCGACAGAAGTATGCGAACACCGGCCTTTCGAGAGGTTTAAAGGCACGAATGGACTTACCCCAGATAGCCTTCCCATGGAGTCAATCGCATACCGAAGAACTGTAATAGACTTTGACTCCATGGCGATTGAACTATGTGTGTGGGATCTGAGCGCTATTCACCAATAATATGCACTCAGATCCAGGCTATCTGGGGATGGGTTATACGAATGTAATACGTTCGGCAGTTATAAAGTTATGTATTTTTATGTGTTTTGTGACTTGTATTTAAAATGGTGATTTGCCTCTGCTCTGGGAGATAATTGAATTACTTCTGAATTATATCCCGAACAGAGGGGAGGAAACTGTGATGCATGCTGGGAATATTGTGGGGTTGTATGTCTAAAATGTCCCCATGTCCTTCTGCTATTCCAGTCTCCCATTTGGTCCCCTAGGGGAGTGTCTACCAAGTGGGAGACCTGCATAAATACGGGCAGGTAGCCCCCAGTAAACTCAGTTCGTGTTTTACCCTCAAAGCGGAGCTTGGTCTCGTTATTGGGGGGATTTCATTACCGGCGACTAGAGACTGCTCATTGGAATTATTTGCCGCTTGGAAGATATTGGCGTTCAGTTACTATTGGCAGTTAGTTTATTTGGAGCTCGTGAAGGGAAGGAGCCGAACAGGTACCGTTCGGGAGGTTGGAGTGTTCCCTGGCTGGCGGTTCGCATGGTTATACTGCATACGCTACCAGACCACATTATTGCGAACGGGGAGCATTCACTAAACGGCGGTTTGTACATTTATTACTGTAGGTACCGTAACAATTATATTATAACTGATTCCTCAATTTGCATGGACCCCCAAAAGATTTACACTATGGAAAAATGGCCACAGCCGAAATTAAAAAACGAAATTCGACGATTCATAGGATTTTCCAATTTCTATAGAAAATTCATTAAAAACTTCTCTCAAGTCATTTCCCCTCTTACAAATATTAAAAAACAAGATCAGGCAATTCAGTTAAGGTGAAAGAGAACAAACTTCCTTTGATTTATTAAAACACAGCTGTATTTCTGCTCCTATTGTTAAACAACCCAACCCTTGTCTCCAACATATCCTTAAAGTGGATGCTTCAGATATTGCAATAGGAGCAATACTCTCTCAAAGAGAGAATCCATCTTCGTCCTTACATCCTGTTGCATTTTTGTCAAACAAGTTATCTCCTACTGAAAGAAATTATAGTGTTGGAAATAATTATTATTACCAATAAACACTTCTGTTAAAGAATGGAGACATTTGCTAGAAGGCTCTACTGCTCCTTTCTTCATTCTAACTGACCATAAAAATCTAGAATACCTCTGCACTGCAAAAAGACTGAATACTAAACTAGCCAGATGGTCTCTTTTTTTTTTTTTAAAGATTCAATTTTCACATCACTTATCGTCCCGGAAAGAAAACTGGTAAGGCTGATACTTTATCCTGGACTTATAAAACAACTCCATTCTTCAACACCGACAACGTTTTTCAACTTTCAACAATAATTAGTTTAATGACCTCTCTAACTCAAGAAATAGCTACTTCCTTTTCTTCCAGTGATCCTTCCCCTGATTTACAACTAAATCAGAGAAACGGATTATGGTATAAAGATAACCTGTTATACATCCCTTCCCCAATGAGAAAATTAATCATGCCTTACATACATGATAAACCCCTTTCTGGACATCCTGGGATAACCAAATCATCAAGTCCACCAAAAATATAAAGAACTACATAAAAACCTGTGATGAATGTTTAAAGAAAAACAAAACTAACCAAATTACCCTCTGGATTATTACAAACACTTTCAATCCCTCTAAGTCCATGGTCTTTATTGTCGACCTCCCTTCACCCCTTCCATCCCCAAACAAATGGCCAAAGTGAAAAACTAAACAGAATTTTAGGACAATACCTCAAAATCTATACCACTCATCAACAAGACAATTGGACTTTTTTACTTTTTTCTCAGACAACAATAACATTAAATCCTCACCACAATTTTCTCTGTTCTATGCAATTTATGGATTTAATCCCAAATTTCTACCCTTAAAATTTCCCTCTGATAATATCCCTGGCTTATCCAACTATTTATCTAACATAATAGAAGCTCAAGTTACATTAAAAGAAAATGTATTACTTTCAAGAGATAGTTACAAAAAAAAATGCTGACTCTAAAAGAAGGTAAAACCTTGTGTTCCAATCAAGTGATAAAGTCTTGCTTTCAATTAGATTCCTCAAACTCCAAGGCCCTTCAAATAGTTATCTCCAACTTTCATAGGTCCTTTATAGGTAATCAAACAGATTCATACTTTTTCATTCAAAATCCTCTTCCTCCGAACCTTAAAATTCATCTTGTCTTCCATGTGTCCTTACTAAAACCTTATTATACCGATGCTTCAAGACGTGTCATATGTCCACCTCTTCCAGTGGTTATAAACAATGAAGAAAACAAACAAACAAAATGGATGAAATATTGGACAAAAAAAATTGTTATCACAGATTGGAATATCTGGTGAAATGAAACGGATATGATGACTCCCGTAATCAATGGATTCCCTTTTTTATTTTTCATGCCCCTGAAATATAAGCCCCTTTTCACACCAAATATCCCCTTAAACCTAATAGCTCCTTGAGGTAGTTCTTTGGGATGGGGGTGTGTTAGGGTTTCTTTTTAATATTATATAAAATATCATCTCTGTCCCTTTAGGGAGACACTGACTTTCGTAACGTAACCTTATTTA